GTCCCGCTGGCTTAGGGTAGCAGGAAGCTCTCCACACACTCACCGGACCTGGGCTAGGACTCTATCATTTCTAATTTTTATTATCAATATTTTGTATTCTCCTTTGAAAATCATTTGACTATTTAAAATTTACTTTGTGAACAAATTGTTATGTATGGAAATGATTATGAATATTTCTTCATGTATTTATAGTACTACTTTTAAACTGTAAATTATGAAAATATTATCAAAAATTATTTTGCAGTAAGGTAGAATGTATTAATTTCAAATATTTACAAAGAATTTTAACAATTATTATTCAAGACACATGGCCATGAATTTGAGTATAAAAATATGACTATATTTAATCAACAAGTGGCTGGTAGCTGTCCACTCTCTGCAGAAGTGTATCTGAATACCCAGGGGAGTAGTACCTGGAAAAGAAAATCTGGTATTAGAAACTTGTTCAAAATTCATCACAGTAGGCCTAAAGATTCTATACAAGGAATTTAGCTGAACTAATTCTATGAGTGAAATCTCATATGTACCCTTGATACATAGGTTCTAGTAATGCTTTTTACATACAGACTGTCTAGGAAGAGAGTAATTGCAAAATTTAATGGCAAAGAGTATTGTTTCTAAGTAACAGATGTAAATTCAGAGTCATTTTATTATAGAGGCTTTCTTTTCATTGTATTAGCTAACTAATGTTGCTTTATGCCATATCTACCTAATAGATTTTTTTCAGAAATTAGACCATATATATCTCATTAGTATTCAACTTCTGCTACAAATCATGTCTTAGTCTATGCTTTATTCAGACCTGATCATCCATTTAAAAATTCACATTAAAAATTTAATAGTTTGAAAATATTAGCATTATATAAACCTAGAAAATTAATCATTTTATTAGTTCTTGGATATAAACAATATAAGAAATTTATACTTATAGACTGATGATTTTATAAAGTATTTAGTATAAAATTATTAAATATACTGAGTAATAAAGCACTATAAGAAGTTTACTATGACATGGAAATAACTTGCAAGCATTCTAAAATATAAGAAATGGATTTTAAAACCTAAGATAGTATAATTTTAAAATTTTTCTGTAGATAAAATCTAGTGTTAGGGACCCTCTTGGTTCTTTGTTAGCTATTTTTTTTTATGTATACACACTTGATTCAAAATTAGTCTTTGAACTGTGCTGTCTAATCACCTGAAGCTGAGACTAGACTATATAGTGAGTGTGTCCTGAGAATCTGAATTTTTATATTTTTATATTCAATTAAAATTTGTTAAAACTTATATACAATTTAGTTACTGAAAAAATGTTTGCTGTATTTGAAATAACTTCTGAATTTACATTTGCAAACATAAATTTAACATAACCTTAATGCAGGTCAAATATACCCAATGAAATTATATATCTAAACTTATATGTGTTGGAAGTGATACTATAAAAATGTAAAATAATGTATTAATAAATTTTTTGTTGATCACAAGCTGAAATAATAATATTTGGGTATATTGAATTTTAAAATCAGTAAATGTTATTTATCTTCCCTCATTTTATTTTATAAACATGGCTACCAAAAAATGAAAAATTATACATGTGACACACATTTCTATTGAGCACTGTTGCTTTAAAATAAATCAGTTAGGATCTACCAATAAATCTTGAGACTCTATTGGCTCATTTTCAAGCTAACTAGAATAATCCAAACATTATAAATTGCTTTATGTTTATTTTGTCATAAAAACAAATAGTGAAAAATTTTTAAGTGGCTCAATACTGCTACATAGTTTTTCCAACATAGGTGTAAAATTGTTTTATTTATCTAACAATGCTTAGAGAAAGAATAAAATGAAACAATGGATACCAAAAGATAACAATTAAAACATCTTTTGAAAAGAAAATGTGACCAAGATGGAGGGAGAAAAGATGGAAGGGAAAAAGAATGAAAAAAATAAAAATGTGTTATTTACCAGTTCCTCACAATAAGCGCAGTCATTACACACTGGAAACATGTACTAAGAAAAATATTTTTAAAAATATTGGTGTGATTTCCTCCTGTATATAGGCCTTTGAGCTAAGCACAAAATTATTTTTAAGAAAATAATGATTTCCATTCATATATATAGCTGTATGCTTTTAAAATCAATGTCCTGTTCTTGTAAAACCATATGTATTTAAAACCTCTGCCAAGAGCAAGGTGGCACACAACTGTAATCCCAGCACTCCAGTAACTAAGCAAGGGAATCATCTCAAATTTCAGGCCAGCCAGGGATACACAATGAGTTCAAGGAACCAAATAGCAAGACCGTGTCGCAAAAAGACAAAATTAATTAATTGATTTAAGAAATCATATCAAATAGGAACTATAACAAGATAAATATTATAATTTATAGATAATGTAAATTTTAATACCTGGAATTTGTATTTTCTAACATTGGT